CACCAGTGGGGACAACGGGGTGGGCGGGGATGGGGCGGGTCTGAGAGTAACGGTGGATGTGGCGGGGATGGGGGATATTTTTAGACATGGGGCGGGGGATGAGGGAGTGTACCCCGCCCCAAACCCGCCCCATTGCCATCCCTATGCGTATAGCTCAAACTAGGAAGATATCATAAACAGTTTGGTACTAGTGAAATGTAAATAATCCGATGAAATGGACTAAAACATTACTCTAGTGCACCTAAACAAGATTTTGTTAGACAGCATCACATTTTTATTAGTATTTCTAGTTCAAAATTTTGACCTTATGTACTCTATTGTGGTTATTTGCAGGGCTGTTTATTGAATTTGGAGATCCCTATTCAAAATACAAATTTGAGACCTCTTTTAATATAAAACCTATAAAACATTCTCAATTTAAATTCTTATTACACTCAAATCAATTGAGTACTTGTTAAATAATGCAAATAAAAAGTTACAGGTATCTATTTCTTTTTTCCAAATAATTAGTCTCTACAATTTTTTTTAAAATGTTTCGATTTTTGAGGGCATTACTATAGGGTAGCGGAGTATGAATTTAACCACAACGAGCCCATATTCATATACGATAGTATACGCCGTAATATTATATTATTATATTATATAATTAATTAATTAATTAATTATTTAATTGATGTTAGTGGCCTAAAAATAATACTAATAGTGCCCTATAAATATGGGGCCCCATGAGAAGTGGGGCTCTGTTCCGTTGAACCTAAATAACATGCTAAAAGGCGGCCCTGGTTATTCGTGTAATTTGAAATTGAAAAATATGTGAAACTTTGTTTATGACTAAACTTAGATGCATTATTTATGGATATGAGTTATGTAATTTGATTTATGCTTAACTCTATTTGTTATTGACTGTTAGAAATAATTTTTATTGTTTGCTAAGACTAAGAAATACTCCGTAGTTAGGGGTGGAAACAGGTCACGTCAGACTTTTGCCTAAATAGGCCGGGCCTATTTTAGAATATATAGGCCTGGGTCTGGCCTGTTACCTATTAAAGGACCGTTTTTCGGTCTGAGCCTGACTTGCTTAAAAGCCTGCCTGGTCTGAAGCCTGTTTACTAGACCTGTTTAGAAAAAAATAACAAGTTCATAAAAATTCAAAATAAAAAGTGACCATATTATTAACTCGGTATAAAGTTTATCTTCAAAAATATTCACTAAAAAGTCTAATGATATTTTAGTTTTGCTTTGGATGACTAATAAGAGGTTAGCTATGTAGCTTATAAATATTTATGTATTTCAACTCTTAAAAAACTTTGAATTTAAATTATCCTAATAACCTATTTACACATTTTATATATTTAATAGAAATAGTATTCTAATTTATAAATTTATACGGAGTAATACATGCTCCTTCAAAAGCACTTTTATGTTCAAAAGCACTTTTATGCCTAATTTGTAATAGTTAAGTATATTAATATAAATATTAATATAAATAATAAAAAATAAAGACATACACACACATACAAATATAAATAGGGCAGCCTGTTAAACTAAAAAGGCTTTAGAGTCAGGCTAGACCTGACCTATTTACACAAACGGGCCTTTTGAAATGTCCAAGCCTTGCTTGTTTATTAAACAGGTCAGGTCAGGCCTTAAACGGGCCAGATCACAGGCCCCTAACAGGCCGCCTGACCTATTTCCATCCCTATCCGTACTAGCGTCTTTTTAAATCAGAAATTGTCCTAAATAGGAGTAAAAACATTTTGAAATTCCAAAATAGGAGCATCATGTTTTTTATTCCCTAAATAAGAGTAATCTGCCACGTTTGGGAAAAAAATGCCACGTTTAAAGCTTTGTAATGCCAAACCTGGCAGAAATTTACTCCTATTTAGGGAATAAAAAACATGATACTCCTATTTTGGAATTTAAAAACGTTTTTACTCCTATTTAGTAATTCTCTCTTTTTAAATCCCAAAGCGAAACGATACTGAACGGTCTTGGTTCATAAGAGCAACCGCAATGCGGTGCTGTTTAGTCTGAGTTTTTAGTGTGTCATGTCATTAACGTAGATAATTTCTATTTTTTAGCCTCTCCAATGCTCATAGTCTTTATAGGATTTTGCTGACCTGGCAAAAACAAAATTGAACGCCGTGAAGGCCGATGTGCGAGTAAAGAAAGCCTCCAAAACATGCTGACTCAGAATTAAAAGGCTTCGTTCCATTAAAAAGAGGAAAACGAAAAAACTCCCCGTCAGGAAAACTCCAATCCCAGGCATCTTTATATTCTCAAGGTTTTCAAATCACAAAGAACTCTGGTTCTCTCAAATCAGGGAAGAAGGCTGGTTTGAGAGTCACGTACGGAATGATAAAATCCAGAAACTAAATAAAATTTTATTTCACGTGAAGTATATACGTTCAATTTGATTAACCCACTAACAACATAAATTGCCTACTCTTTACTTGCTCTTCGAATGACTTCAATGGAGTAAGGAGGAAATTAATAGAAAAAGAGCAAATTTGCGTAGAAGCTAGCATACAGAGCAATTGGATAATAATTTTTTATTAATAAAAGAAAAGCCACATATACACTTGATTTGGGTCTTAGACTTCATGCGTTGGACGTATTTTTCATACCTAAATGTCCGGTTAGTCCACTTTGTATTATGTAAATTACACACTCTTTTAATTATTTGACATTTGGCATATTTAATTTGGACTAGAAAGTAATGCATTGAGGATGCTCTAAGCGAACAAAATTGAAAATCATATCGTTTGGAATTTTGGATAGTGACAATATAGTCTCTTGTTTGATCAAATATTGAACCAACGATCCATCATCCATGATCACTTTTATTCACGAATGAAATCTTATATTCATACGTAAAGAATGACACCCCACGCTTGAGGGATCTCCCAACACTGGATGACACGATGAGAGGATGTAAATTGAACTATAATTATAATCTGACAGATAGCGAGTGGAACTTTTTCCCGACCCCAGTACTTGAAGAACTTATATTCATAGCTAAAGGAGCTTTTCTTTAGTGTGCAAACGATTGAACAAAGGTATATATATGGAATATAATTTAAAGTTGACTCAAATTGACTAAATGAATTGGATTTGTTGAAATTCTAATATAAAGTTGAAATTAAAATACTCCGTTCCATTTTAATGATCCAAATATATAATTATAATGGGACATGGGAATAATATTTTTAAATAAAAAAAAATTATTACGAAAAATACACAAGAATGACAAGATGGGATCCTATGTAATACGCCATATTAATTTTTTTGGTCAATAATAACAAACATTTGACCATGATGTTAATTATTCACCATAAGTTTTTACTATTGTTCCATAAAAAATATTTCAAAGTAATAAATTTGTGGATAAAGTTATTTGTCATCCCAAAAATTTTTATGATTTCAATTTGAAGTAATAAATATGTTGATAGAGTTATTTATCACTGCTCTATACAAATATCAATCGCACAATTTTTTTGTGCAAATCAACTTTTTTTTTCTTTTTTTTTACTCGAGGGGGGTCTGGGAGAGGAGGGCTGGGGGACTTGAAGTAATCATGGTTGAAACTCACTTCATTAACTTTCGAACCCTTATTATGTGCCTAGCGGGTTTCGAACTCAAGAACTCCCACTAGATACGGTAACCTGACAAATAGCTGGATTGAAATGCTTGGTTGCGTGTTAATCAACTTTTGCCAAGTTTTATTAGATGGAAAAACTATATTTATACTCCTGTCTCTTTAAATTTTGTCGGGATAAGAGTCAGATATGGCCTCGAACTTGGAAAAAAAATGTCAAATAAGGCCATATTTAGGATGCTATGTCCGATTGATGCCATTTGGAGCGGTTCCCGGTGAAATTTTTTGATGAAATTTTTTGAGAATCTTATTTATTAAGTCTAGTTTATTTATATCAAATTTGAACTAACAATTTAATCGGGAAGGCATTCAAATGAATTCTTGAAGATAACTGCGCTTTTAACTGCACAGTTATCTTCAAAAATTCATTTGAATGTCTTCCCGATTGAAGTTTTAGTTCAAATTTGATATGAGTAAACTAGACTTAATGGATGAGATTCTCAAAAAATTTCATCAAAAAATTCTATCGAGAACCGCCCCAAATGGCGTCGGCCGGACAAAGCATCCTAAATATGGCCTTATTTGACATTTTTTTTCAAGTTCGAGGTCCTGTCTGACCCTTATCCCAATTTTGTCTAACTTTTCTTTCTTTGTTGTCCTATTAACTTTTTTTATTTTCCTTCTTAAATAAAAAAGTTTGTGTTTTCTGTTAACTTTATCTCATCTATACAAATCTCTACCAAACAATTTTTACTTTATAAATTCTCGTGACTTTCAAAATTGATAAAGTTTTAATAGAATTTGCTCAAGATAAGACCAAAAAATAAGAAAGTGCAAAAATTTGACTTATTTAATTCTATTAAAAGAATAAATTGATTAAAACTTTCTAAAATACTCCCTCCGTCCCAAAATTATTGTCCCACTTTCCTTTTCGGCCCGTTCTGGAATAATTGTCTCGTTTCTTTGTCTTCCTTATTTGGTAAACAAATCCATACCAAACAATGTCAAACAGTGCAAAACAGTATCAAATAGTGTTACTATAGTGCCAAACAGTGTCGCTACAATGTCATTTTCTTAATCTGTGTGAAAAACCAAACGGGGCAATAATTTTGGGACAGATGGAGTAGTAGTAAATAAATCTTATCTAGGAAATAAAACATTGAAAGTCCTATTTGTCAACTTTATAACTAGATTATTGTTTTAATCCTATTTAGAGATTTCTTTCATGTTTTAAAGGAAGAATAGAGTGTACAAGTAAATTATAAATTTTATACTTTTAGAAGACAATTTGAATATGAAACATTCGATATAGTTTTCATTTTCAAAATAATTTCGGAAATATAATTGATCATAACGATTGTCATTGAATGAGAAAAATTTCAAAACATTTAAAGAATGTATATAACAATTCTATCAGAAAAATAAGCCCAGTCCTATTTCTTTTGAAAATATTCAAAATAACAAAGGTTCCCGTAACAATTACACTGTTCGGTGTTCAACAAAATAATTAGAGACCGACAAGTTGAAAATATAATTCGTCTTACCAAACTCTTAGTGCAGTTAATGCACATATCGTTCCTAAAAACAAATTAGAGAATAGGTTTTCCAAGTTTAAATAAAAGAGGGAGGATGATGATGAGTGCACATTGAAGGAATCACCTGCTACTGTGTGTAGCATCTACATTCTACAAGTGCAGTAATAATAAATGCATAGTAGAAATAAGGTATGGTGGTGACCGGTGGTTCGTCATTATCACTTTTGAATCAATTCTCCTACCAGTCTCCTTCAGCATAATCAACTGCACTATCTCCCTAGCCATAATAATAAGTACAGTACAACCCCTTTTCTTTTCCATTGTTTAATCATATCTCTGAATTTTCGTCTACATACGTCATCATCGCAGCTTTAACTTACCCTCACAGAGATGACCGCCCAGACCCTACACTACCCTACTCTATTTTCCCACCAACTTTCATTTCTTTCAAAAAATAAACAAAATATATAGATAAAGCTACACTAATAATTAGTTAATTAACAAAACGACATCGCTAATTGCTGGATTAGCGGTCAGATGCTGCATCTCTTTGTGTCCTCGTAGGATCTTCTCTGCAATTCTGCATATTTCTGGTGATGCGGTTCGCTAATGGATCGTGATAGTAGTGAACTGCCAAATCCTGATGAAGCAAAGCAGAAAATTGTTAGTTTAATTACATTTCAGCATTTTGATTGGTAGACAGATTCCGTCAATAAATAATAATCCATAAATAAATGGAGAATTTTATTACCTCTGGCCGATGCCTTGCAATGGAGAATGGCACTTTGGATTCCGTCGTGCTGCTCCAGCAATGAGTCGTCTCTTCTCCTAACCGACGGTGATGCCGCGGCGGAGGCCGATCGGCTCTTAACCAGGTGTTTCCGGACTGCGCTGAAACTGCCCGGCCTACTACTCCCCTGTCTCTCCTCCGATAACCGTCTCGCCGGCGCAAATGTCTCCTTTACCGGAGACAACACCGATGTGACTGGAATCTTATCAGAGACGAGATTGAGGCTACTCTTTTCGTTGTACTTGGATGATTTCCCGTACAACGGCTTAATCAGTTTCAAATACTTAGGAACCGGTTTTTTCGTGAACCGTTTGGACGGCCCATCGAGAGACGAATCGTCATTTTTCTCCATTTGAAGCTTGCTTCTCAAGCTGCTCTCTCTGCAAGGCAAGGAGGCGCCGACGATTTCGGAATCGGCAACTTTCACAGAAAACCGCTTGCTCTGCTCGAACCGCAACGGCGTCTGAGTTTGATGTTTCGGAATGCGAGTAGCAGCAGAATAGTCGTCTTCCAGCTTCGTTTTCTTAAATCCTAAGAAGAAAATTCGAAATTTAGGGGCGGATCTCAGCAGTGAAATCGGAGAAGCGCCTCGTTTCAATTGAAGCACGTCTTTGGGCGACTCCGGAAAATTGAAACCTCTTTCAGCTTTGCATCTCGCATTCACGGTCTTAGACTTCTTCTCTCTACCGAAGTGATCAGCTCCGTCCAACACCAAGTCAAAAAAGGACTCGTTGTCCGAGTCGTCGTCGGTTTCGGATGCCGGAATGTGACTGACGTCGGTGTATTTGGTTGAATAGTTGAGAGAATCGGTTTCGTCGGAGACGAGCTCAGTACCGGCATTGCTATCGCTGCCGCTATTTCGCCAAAACTTAAGTAAGTTGATAGCTTCCATGGATGGATGAAATTCCGGCGAACAGAACAGAGAGTTGAGGAGCGGTAATGATAATGGTGTGTAGCAGTAAATGACTGTGAGCGTGATGCGTGATATTCGTCGTTATTTTATAGACAGAAAAAGGGTGAAAGGTCAATAAAGGTGAAAGCGAGAACCAATAAATTATGGGGTAATTAGTTAATTAAATCAAATAAATCATAATCGTACTTACATAGAGATTGTCCCAAATGATGCACTATATTTGCTTCTTACGGAGTACTAGTTAGGAAGTGTTTGTTGACTTTTGGCTTATTTCTACTTAAAAAATGTGTTTCGACTTTTGGGTGAAAAATACTTTTTATTTTTTCTATTACATGAAAAACACTAATTTTATCAAATATTACCAACTTTTATTTTTCAAAATCATTTATTTCCCAAACACTATCAACTTTTACTACTAATCACTTTTTCCAAAATAACTACAAAAAAAGTTTTTTTAAGCAAAAGTATTTGCAAACACTCCCTTAGTTGAATTGATTCTTACATACTCCTTCTATCCCTTAAAACTTTGTCAACTTTCCTTTTTTTGTTGTCCCACTAACTTTGCCGTTTTTCCTTTTAAGTAAAGAATTTGTGGTTCCAGTTAATTCTCTCTCCTCTACACAAACCTCTATCACACAGTTTTTACTTTATTAATCCTCGTGCCGGTCAAACTTGGCAAAGTTTTAAGGGACGAGAGTAGTAGTTTTATTATTGTTCGGATTAAGGATGTTTTCTTTCGGACCATAAATTGCTGGTCTGATCTGTTTTGGTCTGGTCTGTTTAAATATGGTTTGGTCTCGTCTGTTTAAATTTGATTTAGTCTAGTTTGGTTTGGTCTGGTAAATGTCTGGTCTTTGTGTATTTTATAACTGTCTGAGTCTGGTCGGTTCTGCTCTGATCTGTTTAAGTCTAGTCTGGCCTGGTGTAATCTGAGACTGAAAACGGCCTAAAGGAAAACATCCTAAGATGATTAATAATGACATAATGCATACTCTCTACTCTATTAAAGTTGTCCATCTTTATATTTCAGTCATCTCATTAAAATTGTCTCATGCCAATAAGTTTGGTAAAATTTGTGTAATTTTAAATTATTCTTAGTTTATAATTGGGAAAAATGTTTTTAAGTAACTATTTTAATAATTTTTAAATAGTATGTGTGGATGTATTGACCCAATTTTTAAATAGTATGTGTGGATGTATTGACCCAATAATTTTTAAATAGTATGTGTGGTAACTATTTTCTTCTATGTGGTGGGTGTATTCGCTTAGCACACTTGTCTATTGTTTGAAAAGATCTTTCAGATTAGGCTTGATCTAATCAAGGATATCGATGAAAACTTGGATGTGTTTTACAAATGTGGTGATCAACACATTGATGATTATATTCCTATTGTGTTGCCAAATGTTATTCTTAATTTTTACAATGATGTCGAATATGTTATTAAATATGGTAGGGGTGATTAGAAATAACTTGAGAAGTAAGGAATTGGACTTTAAACATGCTAGGAGTAGTAATAGTTCATTCAAGGATTCTGGTGAGGCTATGTTCGTGAGTGATAGACCTAAGAGTAGATCCAAACTCCATAGGCAGGATGTCCCAACAAAAAATGTGACCAAAATAGTAAGAAGAGACATAAGTGAGTCGATGTGGTGGAATCTTATATAACGGACCAATGCCCGGTCATGGTGTCAAATATGCAAGGGCATGGTGGGAGTCGATGTGGTGTGAAGAAGAGAATGCATGGTGTTAGATTGCGTTTTGGGATATGGAATGTTGGCTCTTTTAAGGGAAGATCATCTGAGATAGCCGATGTTATGAAAAGGAGAAATGTCAGCATAATGCGCATGTAAGAAACTAAGTGGGTTGGAGAAAAGGCACGTGAGATTAATTCCGAAGGATTTAAGTTGTGGTATTTGAGGAGAGAAAGGAACAGAAGTGGAGTAGGCATTATGGTGGCACATGATTATGTTGAGGGTGTGGTGGAAGTCTTCAGGAAGAACGACCGCTTCATGAACATTAAGTTGATTATAGGAGATGAGATTGTGTCAGTGGTAAGTGCCTATGCACCACAAGTGATGATGGATGCATCTATCACTCAACAATTTTGGGAGGATCTTGAGGAGGTGGTGCGACGAGTGCCAAGGGGAGAGAAGCTGGTCATAGGAGGCGACCTCAACGGGCATGTGGGCCTAAGTCGTGATGGTTTTGAGAGTATCCATGGAGGACATGGTTTTGGCACTAGAAATGAAGCGGGGAAGAACATTCTGGATTTTGCCTCGACATATGAGTTGGCTGTGATGAACATTTGGTTCAAGAAAAGAGACTTTCACATTGTGACCTATAGAAGTGGAGCTAATAGTACCCAAATTGACTACTTTTTAGTACGAACGTCTTGGAGAGCTAGCTACACTGATTGTAAGGTTATCCTAGGTGAGAGTGCTGTCACTCAACATAGGATGTTTGTGCTTGATTTTCAACGTAAAAAGAGAAGGAGGGTTAAGGTACAATGGGAGCCAAAGATAAAGTGGTGGAGGCTCGAGGGGAATCTCCAACAAAGTTTTGCACAGAAAATGTTGGAGGAAGATGTATGGTCCATTGATAATGACGCGCATGTGGATGATGTGTGGTTATCAATGGAGTCCACCTTTAACAAAGTGACGAAAGAGATACTTGGAGAATCTAAAGGATGTCTGCCACCAAAAAGGACATGTCTTGGTGGAATGATGAGGTAAAACAAACAATAAAGATCAAAAGGGATTGATATAAGAAATTGGGCAAAAGTTGGAGTGACGAGAACATAGAGGAGTACAAGGAGGCTAGAAGAACAAAGAAAGCTGTAAAAGAAGCAAGAGGAAAAGTGAACAAAGAATTGTTTGCAAAATTGGACTCTAAGGAAGGAGAAAAAGACATTTACAGACTTGCTCGTCTTCGTGACCATAGGACTCAAGATATCGGAAAAGTTAAGTGTGTGAAGGATGTCGATCGAAAGGGTACTAATGGAGGACGGAGAGATAAAGGAGAGGTGGAGGTCATACTTTGATACACTATTCAACGGGAACAAAGTGCAAGATATCAATGATTTGACCATACCAGATTGTATGGTAAATCGTGATTTTGTGAGAAGGATCCAAAAAACGGAAGTTAAAGAGGCTGTGAGGAAGATGGGGCAGAGGAAAACAGTGGGTCCAGATGGCATACCGATCGAGTCTTGGAGAAGTTTGGAAGAGAGAGGCGTCGACTGGTTAACAAGTTTCTTCAACATGATTTGGAGAAATAACAAGATGCCAACGAGTTGGATGAAGAGTACTCTTATCCCCTTATTCAAGAATAAAGGTGATGTACAAGATTGTGCCAACTATCGAGGGATTACGCTTATAAGCCACACCAAGAAACTTTGGGAGCGAGTGATTGAGCAAAGATTTCGAAAAACTGTGAAGATTTCAGAGAATCAATTCAATTTTATGCTTGGTTGCTCAACAACTCAGGCTATTCACCTTCTTAGGCAACTTATGGAGAAGTATAGAGACACTCACAAGGATCTGCATTTGGTGTTCATTGACTTAGAAAAGGCTTATGATAGGGTACCTCGAGAAGTTCTTTGGTGGGCCTTAACTAGAAAAGGCATATCACGCAAGTATATCAACATCATCATGAATATGTATGAGGATTGTACTACAAGTGTCTGTACTCGTGTTGGGAGGATTACGGAGTTCCCTATTACTATCGAAGTGCACCAAGGATCGGCTCTATGCCCTTTCTTAATTTCCATAGTCATGGATGAACTTACGAAGTCAATTCAAGACGAAACTCTGTGGCCCATGATGTTTGCCGACGATATTGTATTGATTGATGAGACACTATCAGGTCTTAAAGCAAAGTTAGTAGTATGGCGAGAAACATTAGAGAACACGGGTTTCAGACTATGTCGGAGCAAGACAGAGTACATGGAGTGCAAGTTTGGTGGTGGTAGAAGCAGTGGTAATAACAGAATTACTCTAGATGGTAAGGAGATACCGGTCAGCGATATGTTCCGTTACTTGGGCTCAATAATTTAGAAGGACGGTGAGTTAGATGGAGATGTATCCCATAGAATCAGAACAAGGTGGATGAAGTGGAAGAGTGCGTCAGGATTTCTATGCGACAGAGGTATGCCGACTAGACTGAAGAGTAAGTTTTATAGGACATTAAGTAGGCCTGCATTACTATATGGCATAGAGTGTTGGGCGGTGAAACAACGCCACATTCAAAAGATGAGTGTGTTGGAGATGCGCATGTTGCGTTGGATGTGTGAGCATACTAGGAAGGACCACATGAGGAATGAGACAATTAGACAAAGGGTGGGAGTCGCACCTATTGAAGACAAGATGCGGGAGTGGCGCCTACGGTGGTTTGGTCATGTGCGTAGAAGAATGAGTGATGCATCTGTTAGACGAGTTGAGATGTGTGGGGAATAGGCAAGGAAGAGAGGGGGAGGAAGGCCCAAACAGACGTGGGTTAGAGGAGTCTGAAGTGATATGCTTCTTCTTGGGTTAGATGAGGGTATGACTTTGGAGAGAGCAAAGTGGAGGGTGGGCATTCGTGTGGAGGAGTGATCTCGTATTATCTTTTCCCCTCATTTTTTATTTCTTGTTTATCTTGTTTTTTTAATCCTTTTATCCTTATGTATCGTCTAATAATCATTATTTTTATCCTTTTTATTTTATCATTTTTAGCTATATTGATCTCTTTTTATATTATCTTTTCATAATAGCTTATCTTTTTTAATCTTTATTTTCTTTCTTTTCCTTTTGGTGGTGATATCATGTATCGATTCATGTTAGCCGACTCCAATATCTTTTGGGACTTAAGCTTGGATGTTGTTGTTGTTGTACAAAAAAACGGTGTGTGTATGTGTGTTTGTGTTTGAAGGTGTACAAAAGGATTATTCTAAGCATTTTTTACAAAAGTAATGTGTGCACGCGCGTGTATGAACTAGAAAGTACCGAGCTTGAACTAGACAATTATGAAGGGCATGACTATCTTTTCAAAGATTAGTCAGGTTTCACAATATAATAATGAGATTAAAATAAGAGTAATTCTTGTTGTATTCAAAATGTGTACAACCACTCGTTTGTATATACAAACAAATCTAGCAAGACAGAG